CAATCTCAGCATCCCTAATCCTCCCCTAATCTCACTCTTCACCTAATCTCAGTCTTCACCTAATCTCAGTCTTCAGATATTGCTTTCCGAACCTGCGTAAGGGATCTGTAACTCGAACCAATTTGCGATATGCGAGACCCAGTCCGGGGCGTAATTGCGAAAAAAAATTACAATGAAGCCTTGTTTGCAACCACACCACAGGTCGGTTCCATTTTCGGGAGAAGTTGTTTATTCAAATTCTTGCTTCGTCGCGCTTTCTTTCTTTCTGTTTCTTTTTTCTGTTTTTTCTGTTTTTTTTTGTTTCTGTTTTTTTTTTTTGTTTTTTGTTTTTTTCTTTCTTTCTTCTTTCTCTTTCTTTCTTTCTTTCTTTCTCTTCTTTCTTTCTTTCTCTCTCTCTCTCTCTCTCTCTCTCTCTCTCTCTCTCTCTCTCTCTCTCTCTCTCTCTCTCTCTCTCTTTTTTGCCCTTTCTCATTATCCTCCTCCCTTATCCTGACACTTACAAGAAACACTATACCCCCCCCTCCTAGTCCCAATCCCAAGGAAAGATTGTCGTGAATTTTCCAATCATTTGTGCCCAGGAGTCGAGGCGAGGTGGCTGAGGTGGAGGTTTGTAGTGTGACGTCACCGCGTGCGTCCAATCAATGGCTGAATTATGTGTCGGAGTCTATCACGGTGTTTCGGATGCTGAGGGCGGATGGAGGGGCGGGAGAGGAGCAAGAGGGGGTCGTGGCAGCATCCTTAGACGGCAGGGTTTCCCTCGGCGTCCATTGGCAAGGCGAGGCAGGAGGGTGGCCGGGAATTTAATGTTGCATGGAATGGACGATGAGGTGTGCGTGTGTAGGCGTATTGTGCTGGATGGCGGTGGGTGGCATCTTCGGCCGCGAGGCTTGATCGGCGGTATCTGGCAACTCCTGGTTACCATGGCAACAGCGGTGACGCGGCGGCACCTGTAGCACCTGCCCGCCAGTACCTCCGCTGCCACTTGCATGTGCGCACGCTCACCTGGCGTCGCTGAACTCCATGTGCTGCTCGTAGCCCGTGGCGGCCTGCGCTCGAATCACCTCAGGCAGTGACACCGTCGTCTCCTGCCCTCGGCTTCTCTCTCGCTCTCGCCCTCTCTTTCTCGAGCCGATGTGACGCCGCGCTACGTGTGACATGCCCTGCGTAATACGTGCGCGTGACGTGCCCTGCCGCGTGACGGGTAAACATTCGTGCTCGCCTGAGTGTCGGCGTACGCATCCCAGTGCGTGCCCTGTGCCAAACATGAAATAGATCATTTACAATAAAAAGGAAAGGGAGGAAGCCGAGCTCGGAAAGCAGCGCGCGGTGCCCGCCGGCGAAGGGGAATAGAGGAGCGAGGGAGAGAAGAGGGAGGCGAAGAGGACGAAAAGGGGGCGAGGCGAACACGTGCATGGAGAGTAACGTCGACGGACTCATGGCGGCGCCCCTGGCCAGCCGGCGAGGGGGGCGCTCCTCCCCTTAACGTGTCGCGCCATGGCCAGGTAGGGGGGCCCCGCCCTGCCGTGCCCCTTATGGAGGGCACGAGGACAAGCGTGGCCCCCTTTTACCACACGTACCCCTGGGGGCTCCCTCGCTACAGGCGGGTGAGTCGGGGCGAAGCTCATGGGCGGCGGGCGGCCGTAGATGCCCCTGAGGCGTAGGATTTGTTATTGTCTGAGTTGGTAATGTTTTAATAGCTGTGGGTCGGGTAATGGCCAACGCTGTGTCGGGAAAGGAGTCTCTTGAGAGCCAAGGATCCGAGTCCAAACCAGGCGGGTGTTCACTAGGACTCCTTCCCTCTGTGAGACAAGGGACCTTAAGCTCACTCAAGACTCCTCCTTATTTTCTAATTTTCTTCTCCTCCTCTTTCTCCTTCTCCTCCTCCTTCTTCTCCTCTCCTCCTCCTCCTCCTCTCCTTCTTCTTCTTCTTCTTCTTAATCCTCCTCTCTCTCTCCTCCTCCTCCTACTCCTCCTCTCCTTCTTCTTCTCTTCCCTCTCTTCTCTCCTCTCTTCTCCTCTCCCTCCTTCTTCTTCTTAATCCTCCTCCTCCACCCCTCCTCTTCCTCCTCCTCCTCCTCCTCTCCTCTCTTCTTCTTCTCCTCTTCTTCTTTCTTCATCCTCCTCCAGCCTCCTCCTCCTCCTCCTCCTCCTCCTCCTCCTATTCCAGCGTCTAATGAGGGTCTGGGATTAGACTCAGCGAGGGAAATGAGTGTGCCAGTGAGTTGGCGAATTCGCATCGCATTAAGTCGGGACGGAGAGTCATCGGAGAGTTAAGGAACTAATCAAACTGCGAAGGAAAAAAAAGAAAGAAAGAAGGAGAAAAAGAGGAAGAGAGAAAGAAAGAAAAGTGTCTTCGGCTCCGAGCGAGTTGTCACAATGAGGGAAATTTCGAGCTGCTGACACGTCGGTCGCGAGAAGTGAGGCTCTGAGATGCTGACGAAGTGACTTGAAGGCTGAGTTTTTCTTTTTTTTCTTTTCTTTTCTTTCTTTTCCTTCTTTCTTTCTTTTTCTTTTTTTTCTTTTTCTTTCTTTTTTCTTTTCTTCTCTTTTTCTTTCTTTCTTTTCTTTTCTTTTTTTCTTTCTTTCTTTTTCTTTTTCTTTCTTTCTTTCT